CACCCCGTCCCTGTGCCCTGCCCCCTCCCTGTGACACCCGGTCCCTGTGCCCCCCCCTCCCCGTGACACCCGGTCCCTGTGCCCTCCTCTCTACACTACTGGCTGCCCCTCTGGTGTCTCATGGCTGGTTGAGCTCAGGGCTGCATCTCCCCGGGGCAGGTGTCCTGCATGTAGGTCTTTGTACTGTTGGGCTCAGAGCCAAGCCATGGAAGTGAGTCCACCTCTAGGCCTGCAGGGTAACTCGGGGCCGTAGTCTCGGGGGTTCCACCAGGCTCTAGCCAACCAGTAATTCTGGTCATTCTTGTGTTTTTGAATTTTGTTCTACACTTCTCCTCCCACTCTATCCAGAATCTCGTTTTGATACCTTTCTGAGTGGTTGGCATCGTAGCCGGGCACCAGCTAGGTCTGCTCTTGGGTCATGAAGGCTGGGGTCTTCATGGCCCACTTTCCTTGGACTGTTTCCAAGTGATCTTGATTTTCTTCACTCTTCTTTGCTCCAGATGAGAGGAGACCAGTAGTTCCATCTTAGATGGCAGCTTGAAAGCTTTTAAGACCCTAGTCGCTAGTCACTGAGGTAGGATGTAGAACGAGATTTTTATGTCCTGTGCTATGGCACTTGAGCCTGATGTCTCCCGAGACAACGCTCCTAAGCCTGGTGACTCTCCCTCTCAAGGTGTTGGGTTGTCTCCGAGAAGTTACTCCAACCACGGCCCTGTCACTTCTGTGCTGTATGTGGCTATGTTTGTGGCACAGGTGCATGTGTAAGACTGTCTCCAGCCCCATCTGTCCTCGGTTTTGGGTACAATCCTGTTCTCCTGCCCCCACCTGACCTTCCCACCCACCTGGCAGTGTTTGCTGCCGCTGGTCATGCGGAATGGCTTCGGCCTGTAACTTCCACCCCTCAGGTTTGCACCGCACTTTCCAGTTTGTGAAGCGCGCACACTCACAGGATTTCACGGTGACGTTGTCCAGCCCCATCCTGTTGTCCCTGGGGTGGAACTGTTTCCCTCAAATGTGTTTTCTCAGGAACCGCAGACACCCATGGGGCCTGGTCTGCTCTGTGTGGCTGGGCATTCTCCCTCCTGTACTGAAGTTTTCTAGCTCCTACAAGTTAGGGTGATGGGAGGAGAGAGAAATCCATGTGCATGGTGACTAAGTGCCAACAAAGGTCCCTGCTGTGCTGGACGTTGGTAACTGGCGAAAACACTCTACTTCTGACTGGTGCACTACTGTGGCCGGGGGTCCCACCGAAGGTTTGATCCTGAAGGAAAACAGTGGCACTTAATTCTAGACAGGAAAAGAATTTCAAGTGCAGTGACTTGGTTTACACTTCATCTGTTTCCCAACTAATTAGCAGTAAGCTTGTTTGGTATGACTGATGAAAGGAGCCCTGGTGACGCAGCGGTGAAAGCACTCATTGGCTAACTCAAAGGTCATCGCTTCGAGCCCACCAGCCACTTGGTGGGAGAAAGATGAGGCCGTCTGCTTACATAAAGGTTTTTTACCTTGGAAACTCTGTGGGCAGTTCCACTCTGCCCTCCGGGGGTGCTGTGGGTCCAAGTCGACTCCACAGCAATGGGGGTGGTTTGGTTTTGCATCAGCAATGAACTCTCTTCTCTCCTGCCCTCTTCGTGTGTTGTGACTTTCCTGTTGTCTGACAAGTTGCAGACATGGAGGTTTGCACTCCAGGCAGAAAGAGAAAGGCTCTGTAGGGAGACTATCTGCCTGTAAGAGTTTGGCTCTGTTCACTGAACACAAGAAATCCAGCAAAGCAGGACATCAGTTTGGGGTGAGGCGAGGGTGTGGTCACTGGACACTTCCCCGAGGGCCCTAACAAGGCTCTGGGCTTGCTTCCCTAGATTGCTTGCTTTTTTAGGGGATTAGGTTTTTAAATTCTTTTCGAAAATGTATTCATTCTGCTGAGAATGTGTGCAACAGAACACAGACCAACTGGGCCCTTCCCCCACGTTCAGTGGCACGGACAACATCCTGAGGCGTGCACCCAGGCTCACCTCCTTTGCTGACTTGTTCCTCCCCCCGACACGCACTCGCTGCCCCCTGGGGTGCCGTCCAGTCTTTCAAGCTGCTGTTGTCAGCTGGATCCCATGCAGACAGGTCTTCAGAGCACACAAGGCTCAAGGCAGGCCTCCTTCACTAATGAAGCTGAATTGCTGTCCAGTTTTAAGAGGACTTCAGGAGGTATTTTTGGTTTAAGGTTTCAAGATTATCTTGGGGTAACAGTTTCAGGGGTTCAGCCAGCCTCTGTGGCTCCGGAAAGTCTAGAGTCCATGAGAATTTGAAATTCTGTCCTATATTTCCCCCCTTTTGATCAGGATTCTTCTATACAATCTGTGATCAAAATGTTCAGTAATGGTGGCCGAGCACCATCCAGCTCTGGTCTCCTGGCAGAAGAGGCCATTGTTCACAGTAGTTCACTGTATTTCTTAACATCACAGACCAAGATTTTTCTGCATCATGGCATCTGAATAAGCAGATGCAAGTGACTGCCTTCCTATTTGTCCTGAAAACTGGCCTCTGAACTTCCGATCGGGAGGGACTAGGTAACTCAAGGCAACTGGCTGGATGGAGAGAAGTGGATTCCGGCCCAGACAGTCCCATAATGAGCTCGATGAATGGACTGAATGGTCCATTTGGAAGACAGAGCTTTGGGCTGCCTCAAAGCAAGCGAATCCAGGCCCGGGTCTGTGTTGTCATGGCTGCTTCTGGGTCTGTCTGAGTGGCTGTGTGACTGAGGCAGCTCAGGGACCGACTGGGAGCACCATGGTGGCAGGCCGGGGTCTGGTTCTGTCCACACGTGTCTCCAGCACCTGACACGGGGCCTGATGCTGAGTAGCACCCAGTCCCTGCGCCTCAGCCCACTGACAAGCAGAAAGGTTCCCCTTCAAACGTTTTTGGGTTGCTTTCTTCTTCAGGGCATCTGGACCCAGCAGAGAAAGTGGCAGATGCTCGCCCCAAATTATGGTGTGCTTTACGCGAGGCCAAGGTGACCGTGTTCGACGCCTCCTCGTGGACCATTCACCAGCACTGCTTCCGCGTGGGTGCTTCGAAACTGGTGAGTGCCCAGGGGGCCGCCCGGCCCTCCACGTCCAGAGCCCCCAGAGCACGCTGTGACTTCTGCAAAGTGAGCCTGCCAGCGCACACAGCGGGACACACGGCGCCCACAGCAGCACGCGGTTTCTGCACATGGCTCTCCTCACTCCTTCAATTAGCGTGTGTTCCATCCTCTCCCTCGTCTGTCCCCTCCCTCCCTTCTTCGTTAACTCAGAGAAAAACCAAACTGGCTGGTTAGTGCTGGTAAAAGGTGATGCCTGTTTTTAGTCAGCTGCTCTCTTCAGATTTCCCGTTGCCTCTATGTCCTCCTCCTTTGGCGTCTGACTCCGTGACTCCAGCGTTACTGTCACATCTGTGCTCGCCTGGCCAGTGGGCTTTGCCCTGCTCAGCACCCATGCAGGGAGAAGCCACCGTCCCAGGGTCCGACCTGGGCGAGCCCTGTGCTGCACTGCCTGTCACCAGATATAGCTAACGATGTTTTCACGTTTAATGTGAAAGCATCGGCCAGAGGGAGTTTACACTCAAAGTTTTAGGCGTTACTCTGTGTGGCCTTTTCTCATTGGCTCTGCTTCTCCTCTTAGTTTTTGTTGTTAAGAACACACACAACAAAACACACAGTTCAGCAGTTCCTACGCGTGTGATTCCGTGACGGGGATTCGATTCTGCGAGCTGGGCAGCCGTCCTCCCCCCGTCTGAGTCATTCCTCTCCGTTAACGTAAACTCCACGTCCCCTTCTTTCAAGGTGCTGCTGTCAGTTTGGTCGCATGCAGACAGTTCTTAAAAAGCGCAGTGCTCAAGGCAGGCCTTTGAACTAGTTAAGCTCAACTAGTGTTTGGTTTTAAGAAGACTTCAGGAGATGTTTTTGGTTTAAGGTGTAAGGATTATCTCAGGCCAGGAGTTTCAGGGGCTCAGCCCCCCTCTGTGGCTCCAGAAAGTCCACGAGAATTTGAAATTCTGTTCTGTATTTTTGTTTCCCTTTTAATCAAGATTCTTCTGTGGAATCCTTGATCAAAATGCCCAGTACTGGTAGCTGGGCACCACCCAGTTCTTGTGGTCTCAAGGTTAGCCACACATCCACCTCCTCTTCCTATTCGTGACCCTCCTTCTTCCTCCATTGCTCCAGGCAAACAGTGACCAGCTGCCAAGCCTTGGGTGGCTGCTTGCAAGCTTTTAAGACCCACATTATTAGGCCAGTTAACTGGGATGTCCCATGAAACCATGACCCTAAAGCTCCAAACCAAGAAAGCAAATCCCATGAGGTGTTTGGTTATTGTACATGGCAGCTTAGGCAGCAACTTTTTTTTTTTTGGTTGTTACCATCAATATGTCTACCATACGACTCCTGCCAATTCAACTTTTCAAAGGTGTACAACTTACTGACCACAATTCCAGTCATCAGCTGTGCCACCCAACCCTTCATCACTGTGGTTTTTTCATCACCATTAGTCCTCCTTGCCCCCTCCTTCCAGCCCTGGCAACCACTAATTAACTTTGGTCTCTAAACATTTGCCTTCTCATGTAAGTGAGGTCAGACAGCATTTGTCCCTTTGTGATTGGCTCGTTCCGCTCAGCATGTCTTCAGGCTCCATCCTACTGTGGTACACATCAAGACTCAACTTCCTCTACTGGTGGGTTGTGTTCTGTTGTGTGGATGGACCACACTTTGTTTATCTGTTTGGGCATTAGGTTCTTCCCATTGCTGGGCTGTGAAGAGCGGTGCAGTGAACGTGTGTCCGAGTCTCCTGGAGGCTCTGCTTTCAGGTTTTTGGGTATGTAGCTAGGAGTGGAATTGCTGGCCCACATGGTAGTTTCTGTTTTCAGTTTTTGGAGACCCTGCGACACTATCTTCCACGGCAGCTGTGCCATCTTGTATTCCCGTCAGCAATGAGTAAGGGCTCCAGTCTTCCCACCTCCTCCCCGACACTTGTTACTTTCTGTTTTTAATTTTAGCCATCCTGGTGGGAGTGAATGGTGTCCAACTGTGATTGTGATTTGCGTCTCTCCTGGCTAATGATGCTAAGCATCTTCTCATATGTCTGGTGGTCACTGAATGTCCCCTTTGGTGAAATAACTACTCAAGTCCTTTGACCGTTTTGATTGGGTTATCTGTCTTCTTGTTATTAAGTTCCTGAAGTCTTTGAATACATTTTAAGGATTAGATTCCTGTGAATTCAGTAAAGAGTTATGGATGAATTATGGTTTCTGAAGATAGCCTCTCAGTTCATAGCTTGCCATTTCACTTTTTTTTTGTAATCTAATCTCTTTTGATGAACCAGTTTTTAATTTTTATGAGATCTCATGTATTTACTTTGTCTTTTGCCGTCTGTGTTTGTGTTGTTCGAGAATCTACTGCTGAAAGCCAGGCCTGACGGTGTCACCTTGCTTGCTCTAAGAATCTTACGGTGTCCGTTCTCCGACTGTTTGCTAGAACGCCCCGGTGAAGCCATCTGGGCCAGGACTTTTTTGGGTTGGGAGCTTTTGGGCACTGGTTCAGCCTCTTCACTCCTTACAGGTCTGTGGAGACGTTTTGTTTCCTCTGGAGGCGGTCCGACTGGCCCGTGTGCTTGTGCGAATGTGTCCATTTCATCTAGGTTACCCGGGAAGTTGTTCATCATCTTCAGTCATAGTCTATTTGTGTGGGGTGTGATGGCCCCTCCTTCATTTGTTAATTTGGTGATCAGTGTCTTTTTTTTGTCAATCCAGTCAAGGATCTATCCATTTCAATGGCTCTGTTATGTCACCTAAAAATACTGTGACATTAGGGACACGGCATGCTTTTCCACACTGCTGTGAAACAGAGGCTGTGAATCAGATACGTGTGGCTGTGGTGGGGTAGGGAATCCCTCTTAAATGCCTGGGGCCAACTTTACCCGTCAGCAAGACAGTTAGAAACAGTGAAATCTTTTCCCCATTTATTCAAATAATGACTCTCCAGTGACAGGTTCACAGCCCGTGATACAGTTGATCAGAGCATTCACATAAGGCCGGTGACACCTCCTTTCAACCAGCCCCCAAATACCCAAGAAGGACACATTTAGTTCTTAGTCTAAATTTAAAGGAGCTCTGGTGGTGTAGTGCCTGCGGCACTTGACTGCTAACCAAAAGGCTGGTGGTTCAAACCCACCAGCCACTCCTTGGAAGGAAGGTTGGGCAATCTACTTCCGTAAGGAGGGGTTGCTATGAGTCGGGTTTGACTTGACGGCAGTGAGTGTTTTTTTGAGGTTTTTGTTAGTTCTAGTTACATGGACCTTTTTACAGCACATACAAACATGTATGTAGCAATCTCGTATGCCCACCTTACCTGTGGTCATGGGTGATTCCCTTTGGCCTAGACACACCTGATCATTCAGCCTGTCTACCCACCTATCTACCTGTAGATTAATGTGTGTTATCACTGGGGCTTTTAAAATGAGTAATTCTGAAATTAGCAACTCACCACCCTTTTCTAAATTATGGGGATAATTTTTGGTAAAATCAAACTGATCAATTTTCACAAAATTTTCTTCCTGACCTAAAGATAAGTAGCAATTAGCCACCATGAGAAATGACTTCCCTCGTATTACAGGGAAACCCGTGGGGGCCGGCGCTCAACGGATGGCCTGGTTCTTCCCGGTCTCGCGAGTTGTCCGCCTTTCCTGGCCACAGTCTGACCCCCTTTCCGTTAGTGGGAAGTACTTGAGTTTCCTTGTCTGCAGGTTCCTACCTCACACAGGTTCTGGCTTTCATACCTCTCCAGTGTTCATCCGACCCTCACTCTCTGAGATCAAGCTGTATCTGAAGCCCTGAGACGTTTCCACTCGCATCAGTAAAAGGTTGCGTCTGTCCTGGACGGAGACAGGAAGATGATCCTAACAGGAAATGAGGTGGCTGGCTGCCTTTGGCCGACGCCAGCTCGGGGCGTTAGGTGAGGGTGACGCAGCGTACACGCTCCGACACGTGTGTCCTGAGACACAAAGCCCAAGGCACCTGTATTTATCTGTGTGGCTTTATAGCAATGCCCTTCATTTCCGGTTGCAGGAACTCAGGAATGTGCACTGGCTCTTGGCTCTGCTGCACCGAGCTCTGGGACCTCTCTCTCCAGCCCCCAAGCGTTGCCCGTTGTTAACACGTTCTGACGTTTCTCTGGCCTCCGCTAGAACTGCATGGTGATGGCCGAGCAGAGCCAGGTGTGGATTGGCTCCGAGGACTCCGTCATCTACATCATCAACGCCCACAGCATGTCCTGCAACAAGCAGCTGACAGACCACCGCGCCAGTGTCGTGGACCTCATGGCACAGGACGGAGGCAAGGCTCCCAGGTACCCGGTGGGCCCTCGCACGGCGAGGCTGTGGGGCTGGGCTCACAGATGCCAGTGGTGCGTGTGGTCCGCTCCTGTGCACCGACTGCCGCCCTGTAGGCCCAGCTCTGGGGCGGGCTCGGCCTTCACTGTGGACGTGACAGGTGGGGGCCTGTCACTAAAGGGCTTGGCCCCTCCAGGGGAGAGGTGGACTGTTGTGTTGTTTTTCCAGTGGCGTCAGCAATCTGGTTGGTGTGAGAGCCGACTGGTCACGCTGGCCCCGTTTCTGTCAGGCTGCTGGGCTCCCTCCTGCCCTGCCCACCCCGCCCGTGAGCCAGCAGCCTGCAAACTGGCCACAGGACACGCCCCTCCCCGCAGGCTGCCGTAGTCAGCGCTGGAAAGCTCTGTTAGCGCTGCCTCTCTCCTACACTTCCTGCAGGTTGTGGTTTTGAATCCCATTCCTTTCGACAGCCGTTCTGAAGGCACTAAGCCGGGCTCTCCAGCCTTGCCCCATGACACAGGCCAGCGGGCTGGAGGGTCCCCCAAAGGCGAGAACTAAAGCGGCTGCGGTGGAGCGCACCCTGGCCCGTGGTGACCCCGTGTTGGGAGCTGGGCTCCGTGAGCCTCTCGGGGCTGGCTCTTCAGAGGCATATTCCCAGGGCTTCCTTCCAAGGCAGCTCTGGGCGCCTTGAACTCACCCTTTCTGTCAGCTGCTGAGCACGTGAACTGTGGGCACTGCCCACTGATGGGAACACTCCCTGATAGAGCTGTGCTTGCCCTTCCTGGGTTCCCACCCCCAGTCCCGTCCTGCCTGGGTCACGCCCCGGGTCCAGCTTCCACGCTGGGTCCATGAGGCACATCCAGCACCCTGCAGGCCCGCCCTCTGGTGACACACCTGTCTCCCTGCAGTGAAGGCCTGCTCTCCTCCATTAATGGGGCCTCCATGTGGTTCACCTCCACGCACTCTCCTGGATTAAATGTCACCATGTTGTCTCGGGCCACAGTTAACTGTGTGTGTGTGCTCACACCTCCAGTGTGGTGTACTCGTGTAGCCAGGACGGGACGGTGTTGGCGTGGGACGTGAGCACGCTGCGTATCACCAGCAGATTCCAGCTGCCGGGCCGAACCCTGACGTCCGCCAGACTCCACCGAGGCCGCCTGTGGTGCTGTAAGTCCCTGGCCTCTCCTGGCCACAGCAGGGGGTGGCCTGGCTCCCTGCTGAGGGAGAGAAGCCTCCATGTCTCGGTGGCCCAGGGCCGCTGAGACAAAACGCCACAGGGCGGCTGGCTTTACTGTCTGTGGGGCACAGGCTGGCTCCTCACTGAGGGTGAGCGGCTCAGTGTCCGTGACGGACCCACTGTGAGGCAGGTGGCTTTCCTGTCTCCCTGTCTGGCCGCTGGGAGGCCTGTTGGGCTGTGTCCAGGGTTATGTTCTCAGGCTGCCCCTGGGTGTTCCCTGGCTTCTATACGGGCCCTCAGATGGTGCCCTCATGGCTCAAAGGGCACTGGGCCTGGGACCATCATATCTGATATCACTTAACAGATAGCATCCTCAGAGAAAACCCGATTTCCCTGAACAAGGGCCTGTCCTCTGGCACAGGGCTGGGATGTGAACATGTCCTTCTTGGGGACAGAGTCCACTCATTATGCTGAATGAGCACTGAAAGCCTGCTGTCCTCAGTCGTACACAGTCCCGGCTCCTATTGTGAAACTCCGGTTCCTTTTCTGTCCCTGGCACGCTTCTGGTGCTCAAATTTGTGGCTCATGCAGGGCCCCTGCTCCTTCTCGCCACCTTGCATGTGCTAGGGCGCCCTTCCCTGGGGGTAAACCTGGCTCAGATGTCTCCTAAGGCATCATTGCCCTGGAGCCCTGCCACTCACACTGGGGACTGGGTGAGGCGTGTCCCCCCTGCTGTCCCTGCACACACTGAAGTATGTCTAAGGCCCTGGCTGGGGACCTAGGTGTGGCGGAGACACAGGCACTCTGCCTGGTCACTGCTCCGGTCCTGAACATCTCAGCTGACGTGGTCCACACTTTGGAGTCATCCCAGGACTGTGCCAGATAGCTTGGGTCATGGGTGTGAATACAGTGTCCAACTGAAGACATTTTGTATACGCTGAAATGCACAAGACAGATGGGGACAGCTTGCTTTGATACAGGAGGATCCCCCATTCCTGGTGTCCTGGGAGACTGAAGCCACAGACGGTATTGAACTTTCTCAGGTCTGAACCCACAAGCTGCTCTGGGGAGAAAGACCTGGTGGCCTGCCCCCACAAAGACTACAGCCTGTGGGGCAGGCCGACTGTGGGAGCATGTGAAGAACTGTTTTGTGCTGTGGGCATTTGATGCAGTTCAGTGGGAGGCCATCTGGTTCTGGAGTTGTCTTCGTGGGAAGATGTATGTGCATTTCAACTTCACAGAGGACTAGACATATCTTTAATAGTTCTGTGTCAATTTCAGAATGTTGTGTGTCTCAGGGCATTTAATGTAAGATGTCAAATTTGCTGACACCCAGTTGTACTTTGAGCCCTTTGCTGTCTGCAGATCTGTAGTGATGTCTCCTCTTTCATCTCCGATGACGGCAATGTGTGTTCTGTCTCAGTCTTGCTGAACGTTCGTCGATTCTATTGAATCTTTTCAAGGGAACCTTGGGTTTGCCGGTTTCTCCTGGGCCTGGCTCCGTTTCACTGACCTCTGTCTTCACTGTTTCCCTTAATCCTCTCTTTGGGTCACATCTGCTCGTCTTTTTCCAGTCTCTTCAGCTGATGGTCATGCAGTCTCTCCAGGCTAACGCTCCTTCGTCTCTTTGCTCTGGGGTCAACATCATCACAACAGTGTCCTGTGGCTTGTGTCTGCACAGTGTATTCTTGCCACCCTGTCTTTGTCATCACCGTGTGTCTGTCAGTGACAGCTGAATGAAATGTGAGCTCATGGGTGGGATCCCAGGCAGAGAGGACAGCTGGGAAGGGACACTGTTAGGGCCCCTGCAGCTGGTGTGGTCAGAGATCTTAGATGACAGATGGCATCAGTATTTTACCAGTGTTCCATGTCTTGGCTCTGTTACTGGGATTGTAGCGATGTAAGAAAACACCCTGGCTTATAGGAGATGCACACCAGAACTCAGCGGGACATGGGCATGACATTTGCAATTTTCTCTCAGGTAGTTTAGCAAAAAGTCGTACAGACAGACAGACAGAAGGAACAGATGGTAGCACCAGTGGGTCACGATGTTCTTGCAATTGTTCTGTCAGAAATTATACCAAAATTCAAGTTACTTAAATATTATTTCTTCTGTAAACAGCTATAGTTGGAACTTGGCTTTTCAAAAAAAAAATACAACCAAGCTTTCTGATCTCTGCCTTCTTGTTGGCATGTCGGTGCAGGTTTCCGTTGACCGCTTTATTGCAGTGTAATTCACACACCACGGTTTAAAGGCCACAGTTCAGTGGCGTTGAGTCTGTCTGCCATCACCACAGTCAACATGAGCACATTTTAATTACCTCAGAGCAAGTCCCTGCACCCACTTACGTTGTCTGTCACTCGGCCTTGCCTGTGGTCTGTGAATCCAGGGCTCCGCCTGGTCCACACAAGCGTGGTTGTGCACTTTGTGGTTCTTTGTGCCTGGCTTTTCACTTGACATCATTGTTTTGGCCCTAGTGCTGCTCTAACAAACATACCACAGATGGGATGGCTTTAGCAAACAGGAGTTGGTTCTCTTACAGTTTGGGAGGCTGGAAGTCCGAGTTCAAAGTGCCAAGCTTTAGGGGCTGTTGAAAGCCCCTCGACCTTGGGTTTCAGTTCTCCCTGTTGCTCCTGGCCCACTGGAGGCTTTCTCCACTCGCTGCTGGCTGCTGAGGCTGACAAACTCAAGGTCAACAAGTAAAAAGGCACAGTCTCGATATTAACAAATCACACGGCAGGCCATTGATTCAAGTCCATTAAGAGTCCCAAGATGGGCAGACAACATGGCAGGCTGCTGAACAATTCAGCCAAATGCAGGATCCAGATGTGCCCCAAAGCTCAAGGCCGTTCTCAAAGCTTCTCCTTATACACTGGAGGCAGACCGTAGCCCTAAGGCAGCCACTCAGCTGCTCCAGTAGGTTCCACCATGGAGTTGATGACCAGCCTCATCAAGGGGAGTCACTACCTCCAGCTGCCCAGCCGCTCACCCAGGCCCAGCCAGGTTGACACATGACCTTAACCACCACAGTCATGTCGTCAAGGTTGCGGCATGAATCAGTACTCGCTTCCTTCTTACTGCCTAGGAATACTGCGTCATGTGGGCGTGCCCTTGTTTAACTGTTCATCTGCTGATGGAGATTTTGGCTGTTTCTTCTGGTGGTTGTCAAAAGTGCTGCTAGAAGCTGACAAGGGACAAGGTTGTAGTCACTTCTTGGCCCAGCTATCCAGAGGAAGTGAGTAGTTGGACCTGGCGGCTCGGGACCATACTTGCAGGGAACATCAAGCTCAGTTGGCATAACATACTACACAAAACATTGTTCCACCTTCTACTTTGGTGAGTAGTGACTGGGATCTTAAAAGCTTGCAAGCAGCCATCTAGATGCAACAATGGGTCTCTCCTCATCCAGAGCAAAGAAGAATGAAGAAAACCAAAGACACTTGGAAATAATTAGTCCAAGGGACTGGCACACCATGTGATCCTCAGCCTGTATGACTCTGAGACCAGAAGAACTAGATGGTGCCCAGCTACCACTGTCAACCACTCAGAGGGGGTCTATGTAGGAGAGCCTGGGTAGACTGGGAGAACAATGTGGAACAAAACTCAAAATCATTTAAAAAAGGGGAGGGGCGGACCAGGTTTGCTGGTCTGATAGAGCCTGGTGCAACCCCTGAGACTATGGCCGCTAGCTGCCCTTCAGGTCTGGAATTGAACCCACTCCTGTGGCTTCCAGCCAAACAAAAGACAGGCATATGAGCTGAACATTTACATTAGTTAGATAGACTCCTTGGAGACAACAATCATGGGAGAAAGAAGGGCTGTGTATTCACAGGGAGACAGCTCAGGGGGCAGGAGTGCATGGAGGGAAGGACACAGGGAAGAGGGAACTATGGGGAGGAGGTGGGAGGGCAGTTCCGCTGTGTCCTCTAGGGGCACCATGAGTTGGAATTGACTCCATGGCAGTGGGCTCTCTGGGTATGGCTCTTATGAGGTCCCTGGGTGAACACAGCCAACTGCTGACTGAGAGGCTGCAGTCCGCCCGTGGTGCCTCCGGGCAAAGCCTGGCTGTCTGCTTCCACAAACGCTGCCACTGAAATTCCCACAGACACAGTTCCCTGCAACACGGGGGCCGCCGTCAGCCAGGGCTGGTTTACGGTGTGGAGACACTGCTAGTGTGTGGAAAGACACTTCCCTGTACTGAATGATAGCTACAGGCCCAGAGAAGCCCTCAAACCAACACAGACACGTGGCCCACGGCTCCATTGTTCACTGCTATCACCAGCAAGGTTAGGGTTCACTGTGGCTTCAAGTAACAGGACACCTGCCACATTGCAGGAAGGACTCAGACAGCCGCTGTGTCTTCTCGCCACCTGCAACAAAAGCCTCAGGAAAGAAGGTGGATTCCAGCTGCTGCTTCACCAGTGGAAGCGGGCCCCACTAGCAGTCCCAATGCGGCTAGAAGGCCGGACTCTGGCCAGGCCTGTGCTCAAGACATGGGTGGCCCAATACTGCCCCAACCAGCTGTGGGAGGGGTGGGCAGTGCCCAGCACAGTGCCTGTGTGCCACACTTCCTCATTTCTCAGCTGTTCATCTGGCGAGTCTCGACTCCACCTGCCTGCTGCTCAGTCTGCCTCTGCCTGCAGGTACAGGTGACAGCATCGTGGTGGTGACGACCGCTGGGCTTCCTTGTCAAGAACTGAAAATCGAAGAGAGTTTGCAGGGTATGAGCACCTCCATCCTGGGCTTCCAGCTGGTCCCTGAGGTACTGACCTGGGTGGAGACCGGGGCACGGCGTGGTCCCTGAGGTACTGCTGAGCAGTGGCCTCTGTGGGCCGGCCTGGGGACGGTGCTGGGTGCATCGGGGTCCCGTGCGGGCCGGCCTGGGGACGGTGCTGGGTGCATCGGGGTCCCGTGCGGGCCGGCCTGGGGACGGTGCTGGGTGCATCGGGGTCCCGTGTGGGCCGGCCTGGGGACGGTGCTGGGTGCATCGGGGTCCCGTGTGGGCTGGCCTGGGGACGGTGCTGGGTGCATCGGGGTCCCGTGTGGGCCGGCCTGGGGACGGTGCTGGGTGTCTTGGGGGTCCCGTGTGGGCCGGCCTGGGGACAGTGCTGGGTGCATTGGGGTCCCGTGTGGGCTGGGCTGGGCACAGTGCTGGGTGTCTTGGGGGTCCCGTATGAGCCGGCCTGGGCACAGTGCTGGGTGCATCGGGGTCCCGTGTGGGCTGGGCTGGGCAGTGCTGGGCACGGCAGGGTCTCTGAGGTGTAGCTGAGTGGTGGCCCACGCGGACGCTCAATGTGTCATGCCCTCTCCATTTCAGCGGGAGCAGCTGTGGGCTGCTCCTGCGGGGTACAGTGTGGTGTACATCTGGAGCCTGCAGGACCTCGCCCAGCCTCCCCAGAGGATTCCCCTGCCGGACTGCGTTGAGATCAGCTGCATGATCAGGGTCAAAAGGCAGGTGAGGCGTGAGGGGCCTCTGCCGCCCCGCATAGGCTCCCCCCGTGTCCCGAGTTGGGAATGGGCAGAGCTTGGCACTGGGTCTCCGTGTGTGCCTGAATGTGACGAGGTCCCAGCCGGGCAGGCTGCCCAGGCCGCGTGGCTGACGGAGCTCCTTCTCTGACTCTCCCTGGCAGATCTGGGTGGGGGGCAGGGGGCTGTCGCAGGGACAACCCAAAGGGGAAATCTACGTGATTGATGCTGAGCGGGAGACCGTGGACAAGGAGCTGGTGGCCCACACGGACACAGTGACAACGCTCTGTTCGGCTGAAGACCGCTACGTGCTGAGCGGCTCCGGCAGGGAGGACGGCAGGATCGCCATCTGGAAAGTCGAGTGACGAGGGTAAAGCTGCCCCCAGTGGGTTCTGGGTGTGAGGCCTTCGAGGTGCCCACTGGCTGGCGCGTGCCCAGGAACACAGCTCTGAGGACCAGCTCAGCCTCAGGGCCGGGGCAGGTGACACTTGCTGGGCCGGTGGGGGGTGTCCACACGTGGGCCCTACCTGCTGTCATGAACCGACGACCACAGTCGTTCTCTGGACCTCTCCCCTCCCAGATTCAGGTGTCCTGGGGACGTCGCACGTTGGGGTGCTTTGCTGCCAGCCGCCAGGTCCTGAGGTCTAGACAGTTCGGGATGAACGGCCAGGGAAGAGAACAGAGGCAGGATGTGGGTCCTGCTCCACGGTGACCTGCATTCCTCACACCGACTGTCTTTTCTTTGCCTTCACAACCACAGACAAAGCACCAAGTTCCTGCTGCTGTGTGCATCATGGGGACCCAGGGACCCCACAGCCTGATGGGGATTCCTTGTCTGCTGCGGGCCTTCCACAAAGTGGGAAGGGGCATCTTGGGACCACTGTGGGGTGGAGCAGGCTCGTGTCTGTCTCCTCTGGGAGCGTGTGCCCATGGCCGCCCAGATGGAGGGGACCGTCAGGCTGTCAGGTCAGGGCAGTGATGCAAGCTCGGCTTTTTCTTTGCTAATTAACGTGACGCTTTCTTAATGAAGAAACCTAGGCAGGCTTTTTTCCTACCAAAGATAACAAAGTAGCCCTCACAAGGCACAAACCCCGTTGAACGGACGGTGCTATGTCCTCCACAGTGGGACTGACGCCGCGTGAACGGCTGACCGGGAACCTGCATACATTTCAGCACCACTGTGTCCTGTAGACACACTGTGTGTCAAGTAGGTGGTGCCTTGCTCTTTAAACTGAGAAAGCATATCTTATATGACTACAGATTTCCAGAAGACACTCCCTGCACATCTTTGTTACAACACCAAGGCTTCTTCCCCGAAACGTCCTGTAAAGAGGGTTCTGTATGGTGCTTGCGTGTGGCCGGCCGGCCTGTCCATGGATGCACCACACACCCGGCACTTTGGCCCTGGGTCTTGGGCTCCCGGTAGCCACCGTGCCAGACTGCCCTCACCGTAGGGTGCTCCGAAGATGCTGTGAGGCCCTGGGGCAAGGCTGAACTCCAGAACATGAATCTGCAGTGTCTGCAGAAGAAAGCCAAGTCCGCCTCAGGTTTGGTCCACGGGACCCTGGTGTTCTGGAAGAGCCAGATCTCTGACTGGCATTTCCACCAGTCTTGGTTTGGGGTCACCACTAGCTTCTTGGGGAGCTCTGGTGGTGTAGTGCCTAAGGCATTTGAGTGGTAACCAGAAGGCTGGCAGTTCAAACCCACCAGCCACTTTTCAGAAGGAAGACTGGGCAATCTACTTCTGTAGAGATTACCTTGGAATGTTTCGGGAACATGGGGTTAGCAGCCTGGGTCTGCACCGTGGCGGGGGTGTGGCCTGTGGAAGGAAGGCTGGCCAGTACCAAAGAACAAGAGGTTACATTTTGCTTCCATAAAAATAAAATGAAAGTGACAGCGTGAGCATGTCAGAGACACGTTTGTGAAAGGTTTAGTGTCTGCACACGTGTAACGAGGTGTTTCAGGCACGTCGCCAATAAATCCTTATTTAATACACTGATGCCCCGCGTCCATCCTTCATCCAACAGAGGCCTTCAGAGTGAAGCAGGGCACTGTGGCCATGTCCTGGACCCAGCTGCGCACCGATGTGCCTGCACAGGGCACTGCCGTTCCCTGCACTCTTGGTGGCATTTCCCAAGACTGCACTTGACAGCGGGTACCTGGGCCCCACTGGTGCCGAGACCGGGGCCTTTCAGACACAGGCATCGGTAGGCGGGCCAGCAGTACATGACTGGGCTGCGAGTGGCTGTAGGCGAGTGCCTGGTCCCGTGCTGCCGTGAATCTCGTCCTGGCGGGCGGACTGCTGAGATGGGAGGGGGCCCTCTGCCCTCACTGCCTGCTGCTCAGAAGCAGCTGCCGTGTGAGTGGCTCGTCCTGGGAAGGCCCAGGCAGGGCATGAATCCATGAAACAGACTTGCGCCCCTCATAGCCACAGCTCCAGAATCCAGAATTAAATTGGGACCAACAGATGCTTACCTTGAGGTAGAAGGCGACACATCCGCGTACCATTTCAGCTCTCCCACTGTCCTCCAGGGGACGGGAAGGCAGCCGGCTGCCATGGCTCCACGCGCCTGTCCAACGCTTGCTCCCACTCTGTTCTGGCTGCGGAGGCAGCGCGTGGCAGCATCCTGAAGGTGGATGCGTGCCCAGCCTTTCCCAGATGACTCTCAGGTGGAGTGTGGTCAGGACACCTGACTGTACCCCGCATGGCTCTGCCTGCCTCTGGAGGATTCCTGAGGAGGTGTGAGTGCACTCTGCATGTGGCAAGGAGACCAGGTGTCTGCCATCCTGCCCTGGCATTTCCTGCAGTGATGCTGGGATGATCCCAGGAGGTGAGGCAGCGGCTGACTGCCACTCTGCTCAGCTGGTCCTGTGCCCACATGGCTGCAGTGGAGCCCAGGGGACCCTGGACAAGGCAGGTGGGCCAGGGCCTGATGCAGGCCTTGCTGGTGACCTGCCATGAGACTCAAACCCTCTGTAAAATGGGATGGTCCTTCTTGGGGGGATTAAGTGAGAGCCATCGTTACACATGGCTGGGTACTGGGGGCAGGTCAAAGCCTATTCCATCCTGGCTACTCGCTGGACACTTATGCAAGTGGTAAGAAAGCTGCTCTATACAAACAAGACAGTGACTGTGAGGGGTTCAGTTGTAAGCCCTGAGCACAGGGACCCCACGTGTGACAGGATGAGATGCAGCCCAGTCCTACACCACTGTCCTGACCATTGGCATGCTCCAGGCCACCGCTGGCAGCCACACGTGGCACCTTCCAGCATAGGGACTGACTGTCCAGCCTGCATCGACAGGTCCCCTGCGGCCCACCACGTTCGCATGGGCCTGTTCTGGCAGACCACAGACTCTGCTTCCGAATCTTAGTCGGAAAGATCTGCAGAAACCTGTTCACCACGGGTGACCCTGCTGGTACCATGCCTGCCAGCCTCACAGCAACAAACTGACAGAGGGCTGGTGGAGAAGGCTCAAAAGTGGCCCCAGAAAAGACAGGTCCTAAGTCCGAAAAATCCATCGCCATCGAGTCGATTCCAATTCCTGGTGACTCCCACTGGGTTTCCAAGGCTGTATTCTTTACAGAAGTGGATTGCTTCACCTTCCTCCTGTGGAGCAGCTGGTGGGCTTGAACTGCTGACCTTCTAGTTGGCAGCCTTACCCACTGCGCCATCAGAGCTCCTTGTGTTCTAACCCCAGGAACCTGCAAATATGCCTTTATTTAGGAAATGGGTCTTTGCAGGTATAATTAAGGTGAGGGCTGCAATATATGTACATAAGGCCATCTGGGGATCTTTCTAAAGTGTAGTTTCTGACTCATTCTATTTGGAGTGAACCGGAAGGAGCTGGCTTGAAGCCCTGGGTGTAAGTTTACCACCTGCCTCGCCAGAGCCCAGAGCTCTGCTGAAACCTAACCATCTGGATAATCATATTAAGTGTAAATGAATCTAAACACTCCAATTGGAAGACAGAGATTGTCAAACTGCATGAAAAATAAGACCCAATTTTATGTCTTCTACAAGAGATGCATTTAAAAGTAAGAAAACACAGCATAAGAGTAAATGGATAAAAAGGCCATTTGTGAGCTCAGAAAAGCTGGTAAGGCTAAGCTAATATGAGACCAAACTGACTTCAATTCCAGGGACATTAGAAGAAATAAACAGGGAATGAAAAGGTCAATCCATCAGGAAGACACAGGGATCATAAATGGATACACATTTAGTAACAGAGCATCAAGTACGTGTCGGAAACACGCAGAACTACAGGGGAAAAGGACCCATAATCATCACTGGGGATTTTAACATCCTCTCAGTAATTGATTAAACCAGTAAACAAAAAATTAGCTAGGATACAGAAGATTTAACAACTCTGCCAACCAACTTGACCTAACATTATAGAACAGCAGCAGAACACAGTCAAGTGCAGAGAGGGTGCTCACTATGCTAGACTATATGCTGAACTTGTAGAACAGTCACAAAACATTTGAAAATCAAAATCCAACGAGATATGTTGTCTGACCACAATGAAATTAAATGGGAAATCAACAACCGTAAGAACCTAGAAATCCCAAGTTTAACTTCCTAGAAATTAATAGACTTATAAATAACCTATAGGTCTAAGAAGAAGTTACAAGGGAAATTAGAAAATACTTTGAACTAAATGGTAACGAAAACACAGTATTTCAAAATTTTCTCATATGCAGCTAAAGCAGTGCTCAGAGGAAAATTCATAGCTTTAAATACTTCTATTAGAAAAATTGAAATCAATGATCTAAGTTTCCAACATAAGATAAAACCTAAAACCCAAACTCACTACCGTCAAGTTGGTTCCGACTCATAGCGACCCCTCCTTGGGTTTCTGAGGTGGTATTTCTATGGAGTAGATTGGCCAGTCTTCCTTCCAAGGAGTGGCTGGTGGGTTTGAACTGCAAGCCTTCTGGTTAGCAGTCAAATGCCTTAGGCACTACTCCACCAGAGCTCTCAGTCATAAGAAGACAGGGGGATAAAAAAGCATATTTAGCCCAAAATGAAGAAAAAGAGCAAAAACACTGGTGAAATGGAAAACAGAACCAACAAACCCAAAAGTTAGTTCCTTAAAACAATCAATAAATGATGGCAAGTCCAGAGCAAGGAAGAGTGAAGAACCCAGGACTAACGGACCATGTGAACGCCAGCTTCCATGACCCTGAGAAGAACTAGATGGTGCCTGACTACCACTACTGGTCACTCTCAAAGGGACCACAATAGGAGGTCCTCAATACAGTGAGAGAAAACTGTGGAACAAAACCTAAAATCATAAAAAAAGACCAGGTTTACTGGTCTGATAAAGACTGGTGGAATCCCTGAAACTATGGCCCTTAGTCCT